TGGGCTTCCAGGGACCCAGACTAAGAGATGCTATGGCCCAAACATGCTCCCACCATCACCATGACAAAGGGTCATGAAACTCACCCACTGGCTCAGAAAGCTTCCACCCAGGAGATACACAAGCCCCTGAGCTCACAGTTCAGAAAGCAAGTTCAGGGCTACATCCAACTTCAGAGGGTGGGGAAATACAGCCCTGCCCTGGCCTGGAAGGAGGGGGCTGGATGAGGAGGATCTGAATTTTCATCACATTCTACCTTTGGGGTAGGGGACTGTGACTGTTACAGCCGGGGATGGAGGAGTGGGAGCTCCCCAAGGAAGGGAGGAGGGTGCCGGCTGCCCCAAACCAGGGTAGCAGCCGGTGGTCAGCCAGCCCAGGATGGGGGGGCCATGTGTCAGCAAGAGTGCACAGAACAGCCATACCCAGCCTCTGGACACTGCAGCCCGCAGGAGCCCCAAGGGACCCACGGGGACCAGAAGTCTGGGGAAGAAACACACACATAGTCCAGCTCAGGGAGACGTGCCTGGGCAGCCCTGCCTGGACTTCCTCAAAGTTGCTGTAGGTGCAGAGTCTCTCTTTGTTTTGCCTTCTGGTTCTTGGGGAGGCCTCAGTGGGTGGAGAGGTGCCAGGTGGAAAAGGAAAGCTTATCGACATCCCTTAGAGTTACAGACCCCATTTTACAGAGGCTAGTGGCCCCTGTATTTGGTCAAGGGACTTTCTCCAATTCATGGAGCTAATTGGAAAACCTGCATTTACCAAGTGCCTCCCACAAGCCAGGCCTGTGTTCACGTCTCCGGAGTTCCTATCTCTGGTTCCACGGACAGGAAAGCACAGACATCAGGGGCACATCGCAAAGACAGGCAGGCCCACCTCTGAGGCCTCAGCCCTCCCCATGGTACCCTCAGGATTCGGAGGGGTTGTCTGGGGTGGGGGGAGCCGAGGGGAAGGAGTGGTGGGCATTTAAAGGGATGATGGGTCTGACACACGATCAAGGAACTCTGGGAAGCAAACGGGCGGCTGCAGGCTGCATTTAAGGCACATTCCTGAGCTCCGACAGGAGAAATAAAAGTGTTCCCTTGTCTGTGAGTTGAAGAGACAGCAATATTGTGGTGTAACTAGGACCAGATGGGCTCCAGGAATTTCCAAAGGCCTTTTTGCATATTAGACAAAATAGCCTCCCAGCCACACACCATAACTTTGTCTGGCCGCCTGGGTATCGGTTACCGAGACGACCAGCAGGCTGCGCGCACTGGCTCCCGGGTCCCAGAAGGGAGTGGGCCTTTGCCCCAGCAGGAACCCCTCCCCCCTTGTGTGTGACACCTTCCCCAGAGCTCCAAGGCCACGGCACACTCAGAGTTGGAAAAGGGGTGTGAAGTCCCAGAAACAGCCTAGCCAGAAGGCCCCCTGTTGTGCAAACCCTCCACTCCCCCACCTTCCAGAAGGGGGAGGTCACGCCCCCACGGGGCACCCAAAGGTGGAGCACATGAAGTGGCTCAGCGCCAGGCTCTGGGGTGAGCCGGGGAGCACACCCCAGCTGGGAGACAGACCCTCCCTGCACCCCCTTTCTTCGTCTGCAAACACAGTTGTGCGAGGATGGAGCGGTGTAGTACATGCCGGCCGGCCAGGTGCTAGAACTAAGCCGTGAACCCGGAAGCACTGCGCCGTGTTGGCCGCCATTATGATGGCCTTTGGAAAGGTCTGGCGGTGAGACCATCCTGCCTCATTCCCACCGAATAGTATTATTAGCTAATATTAATTGAGCACTTGCCTATGCCAACACAGCTTGTGAGGGAAAAGACTCAGGCTCGGGGCAGTGATTTGTCTAAGGAAAGCCCGCACGGCCAGGCCAGGGAGTGGCCCGGCTGGGAAGCTAATCCCAGCTCTAGCCACCGTGTTACACTGCCTCCCAGGGGCCCAGCTCCGGCATGGAGCAAGGCCCCCGCGTCTCCAGGTCTCCAGTTTCCTGTCCGTGCAACAGGGGCTTGGACGGTGACTCAGGAGGGTCCCTCCCACACTCACTCTCTGGATCCTAATTCTGTCCTCGAATGCCCCGGAGACTCTATGCCAGCCCCACTTCCATAATCTCACACAGTCCTTGTGGAGAGGGAGAGGTGAGCCTCAGAGAAGGGATGCCATCGGCCCCGGGTCACTCTGCAGGCCAGTTGCAGAGGCAGATTCGAGCCCAAGGCTACCGATTCCACAGCCTGCGCCCTTTCTCTCGAGACCCCCTCGGCAGAGCTCATGGCTCCTACTTGTCCTGTCAACAGTGTCTTAACGCTAATAGTGACAAGGGAGTGCAGAGAAAAACACCTGGGAGGTGGCAGAGCCCATCCTCTGCCACTTGGCCAGGTGTGGCCTTGGACAAGTGCTGTGTGCCTCTCTGGGCTTTGGTGTCCTAGGCTGTACATGAGGTTCAAAGTCCCTGCCCAGGGAGGCCACTGTGAGGATGGCAGAGGAAGGAGAGGGGCACGGAGGCTGTGGGGCTTGTGGCGGGAGGGCGTCCCCCGTGCCCTCTTCCTGAAAGCACTTTCTATCGGCGCTCAACATGGCCCCTCTGTCCCTCCCTCCCGCCACGCCCTATAAGAAGACTGACAGGAGGAAGCCAGGAGGCTGGGCTCTGGTTCCTTTGCTCACTGGGGATGTCAGGCTCCTTTACAGCCCTCCGTGGGCCTCATGTTTCCTGCAGACAAAGCAATGGTGGTGACTGCCCGCACTGAGCCAGGATCTGAGCAGGCCCTCGGCGAAGGACAGCCTTCCCTCTCCTCCACCCCAGCGCGCCCCATCCAGCTGCAGTGGCACGAGGCTGGGCCTCCGTGTGCTATCTGCGCAATGAGCGGGGTGGGACAGCTTGTCCCAGGGACCCTCGGCTCTGACTACGCACACGCCAATTCATAAAGCACTTCTCAGCTGCCTGCTTGGTTTTATTTTTAAAACTTCACTTTGTGCTTGCACAATTCAAGCTGCAGAAAGCCCAATGTGCATCCTCCAGCTGAAGAGCATCTCAAGGGTAGGACGTGGATGCTGTTCGTCTTTCCAGGCCCCAGCTCGAGCAGATGGCCGCTTACCCACTTTCTGCCACTCTGCCCGCTCCCTGGCCCTGCCACCACTCTCCACGGACCAAGGAGGCTGCTTTTCCCCTCCAGGTTCCCGGTCTCAACTGGACACTGGGGTGCTGACATCTGCCTCTCCCAGGATTGCTGGCCAGGGTGTGAGGGAGGGGCTGAGAGGTCCTGGTGGCCTGCAGGACACAATGCTCCCCAAGATCATCTCATTCCAACCCTTTGCCCATAGGTCTGGTTATGGGGAAAGGGCACTGGTTTTGCGGTTAGATGGACTTGCGTCCATTCCCTGGCTTTTCCATTGCCTGACTGTGTGATCTTCGCTTCTCTGAGTCTCTGTCTGCTCATTTTTAAAAGTGATCATGATGATGGGTAACATGTACTGAGTGCTTACTCTGAAAATTAATAAAGGAAAACCTCACCAGCATGGCACCAGGAGGCCAGCAGGGGGAGCCCTCACATCACACCACGGGCCGTCAATTACAGGAAGCCCTGTCATTCAGACCCCAACAGAAGAACCCTCCACAGGAAAGAATCGTCATTTATAGCTCCCAATAGGATAAAATGCACACTCCATCTCCTACAAGAGACTGACTACCCCAGCAACTCAGTCTGTGGGAAACCATCAGCGCCCTCAACTCTTGCTTTTCTCCAACTGGGCTTTCCTTCAGAACAACCCCTCCCGATTTCCTCCCCTTCTCCATAAAATAATGTTCTTCTCCTTTATAAAGGACCAGCTTATGGTTTTTGCCATAGCCTGTTTGTCCCATGTTGCAATTGTCTGCCATTCCTAAATAAACCCATTTTTTTGGCTGGTAAAATAACGGAGTTCTTTTTAAGATCAACGACTCCATGCTGGACCCTGCTTTAAGCAACTTACAAACTTGTTCAATCCTCATGATGACCCTGAGAGGTAGGTACTATCACCCCATTTTGCAGATACACGAGCTGAGGACAAGTCACCGGGCTAGCAAGGGGTGGAAGTGACTCAAAGCCAGGCTGGTGAGGGATGGGAGCCCAAGCGTTAATTGCTGTACCCTGCAGCCTCAGAAAAAACCCCAGGACAGTATCACTTCCAGGGTAGGGCACTGAGCCTCCCCATGTTGGCCCTGAGCCCAGAGCAGGGTGTCCCCTGCCAGTATTGGCTGAGCAAAATAAAACCAACTCAAGAGTGGGCCTCCCTGGAGGAGGTCCTGGACTTAAACCCCAAGCATTTGGCTGAGGAGCCAGGGAGGGTCCTAAAAGTCTCCTTCCAATCTGCTGGGGAGTCCCGCTAACACCTGCCGTCCTTGTCCCTGGCACGAACACTTGGGGGCCACCCTGCTTCCCAACCAGGCTGTGCCCTAACACTGGGGGTGCCCTGGTCACTCTACCAGGCTGAGGACAGGCTCTGCTCTCCACCTGCCTGGACCCCCCTGCCCCAGCCCAGCCCAGCCCCGTGCTCCATCCACATGCTCCAACCACAGCCCAGGGCTGGAAGACCCCCCCACACCCCACATGCTGCCCTGCTGGGGCCCACCAGCTGCCTCCCACCCTGGGCAGAGCCGCCATCACAGCCCAGTCCTGCCTGCATCCCCTCCCCACACATTCCCAGACCCTGGACCCGCCTATGTCTGGGGAGCAACAACCCCCACCTCATTCCTTCACTCCTGCCAAATCTGAGGCATCTGAGAACATATACTTAGGTATCTGGCAGGAGCTAGGTTCAAACCTGGCTCTACCACATGCGTGGCCTGGGGCAAATGCCTTGTTGAGTCTCAGTAGTCTTATCTGTAAAATGGGAACAATGACCTACTTCATTGGACTCTGAGAACAAAATGAAATACTAGCATTTATTGGGCAGCTCTTGAGGTCAGGCCTTGTGCTATGTGAATTTTAAATCTTTACTTCCTTTAATCCTTAGGAGGTAAGGATGCTTCATCTCAAGAATACACAGCAGCCAGTCCAATCAAGAAGAGCCTTTATGGTTCTCTACAAATAGAAGCTCAACAGTGATGAAGCGAGCCCACTGCCTGCCCCCAGAGGTCGCAGGCCCCAGGTGGAAATGAGGGGATGTTAGGTACCTTCAGTCAGGTGCAGAGAAACCAACAGCAAGGGCGGGGGGGCAGGTGAGGGAGTCCAAGGGTGTGGTTAGTGCCTCGAGGTCTAGTCCAGGAGGTCAGTCTTTTTGAAAGTTCATGATTCTGAAACGCTTCCTCCCGTCCCCCAGCAGAGGGAGCACCAAGGGAGAATGTGGGAGAATGTGAGAGTACCCCCATATGGTAATGAACATGAGTCCTCCAGGTGGGGTTGATTGGGGACGGGGATGCCTCAGCTGGCCCACTTTCCCCCCCACCCCCCCACCTGTGATCGCTGTCTAAGAACACACCCAGGGAATGAGGGGTGGATGCTCCCCCCCCACCCAGCCTCCTGGGGGGCCCTGGAAGTCCCCGTCAAATTAGAGCTGAGGTCAAGGTCAGGGTCTGGGGCATTCCAAAGACCAGAGGTCAGGGCCCACTTGGGACCTTGGACTCCAAGCACAATCAGGGCCTGGGCACTTTGGGTGAGGCCAGTGGAGGCTACAGTCCCCCCAACTCAAGGCCCTGCCCTAGATCCTACCCATACAACCTACCTCTGCCCTCCCTCCAGGAACTCCAGCCTGGCCACCAGCACCTCGGTCCTTACTTGGGGCCTCAGGTCCCAGCTTGGCCACCTGCCCCCATCCCCAAGGTCCCCTTTTGGGCCTCACCTTCCTCTGTCCCCTCCCCACTGGGGTGGGCGGCCCCCTCAAGCCTCCAGTGCTGAGGCCCATCACTGAGCCAAGCGTTCTTCCCCCAAAACCTACTACCCTCCATAACAGGCAAGAACATGGCTGAAGCATGGACTGGGGGCTCCTCAGGCCTTCCCCTCCCCTTATCGCCACCGAGGAGCCTCAGGAAAGCAGGTCCAGCCCTTGCTTTATTGAAGGGGAATACCAGATGGGCAAACCCACTCGTACCCCTTCCCTGCCACCCCTCACATCTAGGACCAGGGCTCCTGCCTGCTGGCTGGGAATCCAGAGCCCACCCCCGCAGAGGCTTACCTGCAGCACCCAGCTCTCAGCCCCACCCACACGGGCACCCATGGCGCTTCAGGCCCTCCCTGATGTCAGGAGGGGAGGGTGGAACAAATCCCATGACTTGTGCCCCCAAAGCCGCACCTGCCATCCTCCCTCCTTGCGAAACTGCCTGCCTCTGCAGGGTCTGGTCAGACGGTGACCCCACATGAGGTCTTCTGGGACTCAGGCCCTGCCTTCCGCCCCTACCCACAGAGGGGCCTGGAGACCCCCTGACACCCAATGGGGAGAGCGGAGGGGCTGCCCCTAAGGCCGGCCCAGTCAGGGACAGGCCCCTGCCCCTCAGCGCCTCCTGGCAGCTGCGCCCCCCCGCCGCCCCCGTGGTTAGAAAAGGAGAAGCAGTGAGGGGCGGGCGGGGCCGAGGCAGGCAGGGGGCCGCGCAGAAGAGCAGAAGGGCAGCGGCGTGGTCAGGGCACCTCAGGCGGCAGCAGAGGTGTGTCCGAGTTCTGTGCCGAGACGCTGGGGCACTCGGACCCGATGAGCCCGAGGCTGTACAAATTAAGGATGGAGTCGGCAATGATGCGGGCCGTGCGTTTCTGGTACCCGCCCGAGGTCACCATGAGGATGGGCACCTGGCGGCCACGGACCACCCGAAACACCAGTTCGTCCCGCTTCACGATGCCCTGTGGAGCGATGGGGGAAGGCCGGGGTCCTTGTGGCTTCGGGAAGTCCCGGCCGGCCCCTCCCCCACACCAGGGAAAGCACCTGTGCCGCCTGCCTTGCCCGCTGCCGCGGGTCCCCAGGGCGGACCCCACAGCCCCCAGGGTCCGGACGTACCTGTGGGCTGATGGACAGCCCCCCAAGGCGGTCCCCTTCCAGGATGTCAGTGCCTGCGTTGTACACCACCACGTCGGGTGGGTGCTCCCGGAGGGCCTTCTGGAGGTTCCGCTCTACTTTATCCAGGTACTCATCGTCCTCCGTGCCCCACTCCAGCTCCACCTTCCGCCTGATGGCCTCTGAGCGGGAGACAGGAAGAGCCCCGATGTGCAAAGAAGGGAAATAGGCTCAGGAAGGTCAAGGTTGCCTGGGTCCCTGTCGGTGCCCCAGGCAGGACTGGAAACAGTCTGATGCCAGCACCGCTCTGCCTCATCCCACCCAAAATGAAGCTAAAGAGCACCAAGAACTGCAAGGGGGACCAAGGGAGAGAAGGGACTGCAGCTAAAACACTGTGCCCTAAGGGTTTTGAGACCCATGTGGGTAACATCTGATCTCATTGCCTCCTTGAGCCTCCACCTGGAAATGTGGACACCCTTGCTGCACCCTCAGGCCCCAATCCAGCACCTTCTGGTCCCCATTCAGAAACCGGGCCCCTGGGCCACACCTGGGGCTGAGTTACCCTCAGTAGATCCACTGGCATAAATGTCCCCTATTTGCAAAGTGGCCCGGGTGCTGTGTTTTCAAAATTCATCTGGGAGTTTTTGGGCGCCTGCGTGGCTCAGTCGTTAAGCGTCTGCCTTCGGCTCAGGTCATGATCCCGGGGTCCTGGGATCGAGCCCCGCATCGGGCTCCCTGCTCGGCGGGAAGCCTGCTTCTCCCTCTCCCACTCCCCCTGCTCGTGTTCCTGCTCTCGCTGTGCCTCTCTCTGTCAAATAAATAAATAAAATCTTCAAAAAAAAGAAATGCGTCTGGGAGTTTTTGCCTTTTGACTGGTAAGTTTAAGCCACTTGCATTTGTTTTCACAACCATTACGCCCGACTTGGTTTCTGCCCTCTTATTTTGTATTTCTCTTTACCCCATTTTTCCTCTCGTTTCTTGTTTGTCCTTCCCTGTTTTCTACCAGATAAATGCATACGCAGGAGGGGTTCTATTTTTCTTCTGGTGACTTCCCCAATGCAAGGCCCCACACGTGTTGTTTATTGGGCAGGTTTATGTGATCTCGGACAGGTCAAGTGAGTTAAGTCTCAGTTTGCGTGTCTGTAAAAGGGGAGCAATCCCCACCTCCCAGGGATGCTGAGGATGACTGAAGGGACTCCTGCAGAGCACGGCATGCAGGGAACACTCAGGAGAGAGAGCTCCATCCAAGCACGAGTGCACTTAAGGCTGAGGGAGAGGGGGCAGCTTACGCTTGGCGAAGCGGTCCCCGGGGTAGATGTGGCGGTTGTAGACGTCCATGATGTACACGCGCTTGTCACCCATGAAGTCCCGTTCATGCCCATTGCCCTGTGGGGAGGACGTGAAAGCTACTTGCACACAGGCGTCCTCAGCAAGGACAGGACCCCCGCACACACCCCAGGAAATGGCCCATGAGTGCGTGGGCAGCTCAGTTGGCCCTTGGAGGCAGAGAGTCTCTTGGCTGTTAAGTGGCAGGGCTGGAATTCAACCTCAAATCCCAGCCCCATGGTCTTCTGGTGTGACCTTGAGCGAGCCCCAGCCCTCTGCGTGTCTTCTCCACGGACTGAGAAAGGAATTCCAGCCCTGCCACCCTCTCTGGTCTGTGGCAGGATCAGCGGGGGTCAGGAATGGGAAAGGTAAACTGGAAAGGGCTGGGCAGGTGTGACTTGGTACCAGAGTTCAGTGTCACAGGACACCCCCCCCCCAAGCAAGGCACCTACCAGCACAAAGGCACAACAGCAGGGGTGTGGGAGGGGTCCTCGAGAGCCCATTTCATGTCCTGCCCTGTCTGACCAGAGGAGCCAGCCCTATATTTGGAGTCCTGAGGAGGAAGCCCTGCATTCTGCTGCTTCACCCCCAGGCAATGAGTTCTTAAGTAGTGGCCTCTGGCCCCCGCACCCCTGAAATCCTGTGTGCGAGCATTTGTCTGACGGGCAGGTCCACAGTAGTCCTCAGCTATCTGCAGGGGGTGGCACCCCAACCTGACTAGGAAGCACTGGGGAGCCGCAGCAGGCTTTAGAACATGAGAGTGGCATGGCCAGACTGGGCTTTAGTAAGCGTCTTCAGCCTGGTGTGTTGGGCAGTCAGAAGGGAGGAAGCACCCTTGGGTTTGGCAGAAGCAATGAGGAGGACCCAGTGCCCAGGATGGCCTGAGCGGGGCAGAGGGACAAAGACAGACCCTCCACTTCCAGCCCAAGGCGCAGAAAATGGGCTGCAAGGAGAGAAGCAGATCAGGGTGGGGGTGGCAGAGGCCCAGCCTGGTGCTTGGCAATGTCCCCAGGGGGAAGGGAGCTCCACAGTGGGGGGCCGTGTGACAGAGCTGATGGGGGCCTGGGGAGGCAGGGCCATGAGACCGCAGCCCCCACAGGGTACTCACCTGATGGGCATCGAGATCAACAATGGTGGCTCTGGAGATGCCTTCCACTCGCTCAAACAGAAACTGCCAGGGGAGGGGAGGGGGCAGTGAGGACCCACACAGGCCAGAGGACATAGCCCCTGGGGCATTCCTAGTTGGTGAGGGGTCAGGTGGGAGGCTGGACACACTTGTGGGCAATCAGGCCGCAGGGCAAAGAAGTCCCACACCCAGGAGAAGCCCGTGCAGGTCGAGAGAAGCATGTGTGCACGGTCAGGGAAGGCTCCTTGGAGGAGGCAGCATGTGCTGTACCCTGGCAGGCTAGAGGTCAGGAGCAGGGTAGTCGGGCTAGCCCTCAGAGACAGCCCAGGACTCCTAGGGGAATATATAGGGGTTGAGAGAGGGAATGTCCCCTCAAGGCTGTGCCTGGAACTTCATCCTGCATTCTCTGCCTTATCCTACAAGGCCAAGTTCTCATGTCTCCTTCCCTGGGAAGCCTTCCTTCCCCTCCCCCACCCTCTTGGAAGGTCTCCTGTGTGTCCCCCTCTCTGAATGGCTGGGGTCTGCTGACCTGCTTGCCCCACTTCCCCCATTTAGTCTGTGTGCTCTGTGAGAACAGGGACCACGCCAGCCCATTCCTGATGCCCAGAACCAGGCCAGGCACAGGGTGCTTAAAGGGAACTCAGCAACCCAGCAGAGGTGTAGGCCCCCCGCCCTGCCCCTCACCTCTCTAGGCTGGGGTCTCCTCCTCTGTACAGGGGAGGAGTAAATGAGGTAAGGAGGGCAACTGGAGGCTGGCGCAGGGCTGGGCCTGCCGGAACCAGCCATCCCCATCATTATGCCCATCTCCTCCTCACTCCGGTAGAGTGATGCGCTCCCTATATTGTGGACAAATGGGCTGCCCCTCTCCAGTCCCCACCATTGTTGAGGCCACACTGTCTCCCTGCAGCATAGACAATGCAGAAGAGCAAGTGTCAGGTCTGGGTTGGAGTCCCAGCCTGGCTGGGCAACCTGCCAGCTTCCTCCCCTCCTGGGACGCAGTTCCCTTTTCTGTAATGCAGAGGAGAACACCCAACTGGGGCTGGTGGGGCGTTCCAAGGAGGGCTCCTCGAGCGAGGACCCACGTGCGTCGCAGCGCACCTTGATGGCCAGCGTGATGTCCGCATAGGCGCAGAAGCCGCCGCCCCGGTCACTGGAGCAGTGGTGGAAGCCGCCACCTGTGGAAGGGCAGACGCGGTGTGGTCACCCCCCCCATCCTGCCCACACCCTGTGCCTGCTCAGCTCCCAGGCACAGGCTCCTGGAACTCCAGGTTGGCAAAGTGAACCGAGCACCTGAGCACGTCGCCATCCCCGAGTCAGGAGACAGCTTTGCCATCACAGCCATCCCTGTCCAGAGCAAGAAACCTCTCAGGCTGTCCTGACAAGTCAGCCCCCAGTGCCCATCACAACCCCCAGGGGCCAGGAGCTCATCTTTCTCAAGGCAAAAAGTTGTTCCTTGCCTCTGTAAGGCCCAGGCCTGCCTCCATGTGACTTCCCATGCCAGGAAGGGGTGGTGGGGCTGTGGGGGACCCGTTTATGCTAGGGACCACCCACATTCTGCAGGTGGTAGAAAGGGATGGTCAGGAAGGGCACCTTCTGCGGGTCATGGCCACCCGTGGCAATGGGCGGCCCTGGACACCAGGGTCTGGCTCCCACCTCTCCCCCACTCTGAGAGCCCACTGCCCTGCAACCCCTACAAGGACCTGAGTTTCAGGGCCCCACCCAGCAGGTCGAATCCAGGGCCCACAGCTACAAAGGACTTGCCTCTTTTCATGCCAAGAGGCTGTCAATGGATCTTAACAATGAGATAATGGCCAATCATGAACTCCTAACTGGGCACAGAGCTCACTGAAACCTCCCTACAGCCCCAGATGGGGACACTGTTATCATCACCTCCATTTTACAGATGAAGAAACTGAGGCACACAGAAAACCAGCACCTTGCCTGGGATCACACAGCTGACTGCCATGCAGAACCACGATTCAAACCCAGGCTGGATCAGGACCTGGGCTCTTAACCTCTACCAGATCATAACATCTTCCAGGTGGGAAGGGCCTCCCTGGGTCTTTGTAAGGACCCTGCTGTAGACACACAGGGCATGTCTCCTTCAGTCATCCATTTAGCAGTGTCTCATAACATCATGGTTATGCCAGACCTAATGTTGGCTACCTGGCGATACCAAGATGGAAGAGCCCCAGCCCCTAGCCTTGCCGAGCTCACAGCCAAACGTAGGGGTTCTCTGCTCTGGGTCTCTGAGCAAGCCACCAGGCCTCTCCCCCAACCTATTTCTTCATCCATACAATGGGACCGACAACAACAACGCCCAGCTCATGTGAGAGGCCAGACCATAAGCGCTTTGCGAACTGTGAAGTGCTGCGCCTCAGTGAGGGACAGATGAGGACGAGACAGGAAGATGTGTGCAGCCCTCCCATGAGCCAATCTTGCGGGAGAGTCCAGGGGACTGCAGAGTGCTGGCCCTCAGGCCCCTGAGAAGGCCGTGGTATTGACCCCGGACCTGTCTGTCCATCACGTGACCAAGCCCCTGTAGACCGTCCTGGGCCCCAGGAGGCTGATGGAGTTTTTCAGGAAAGACTCTGAAATGCTACAGGTTTTAGCCCCACCCAGGGCTGCCCAGGGGATTGTGAAGGCTTTTGCAGAGGGAGTGAGCTCCTTGTCACTGGAAGTATGCAAAGGCAGAGCTGGAGAGCCAACTGGGGAACTCCTTTAGATAAGGATCCCACCCCAGATGGAGGCACAGGTTGGTCCCTCCCAGACACCAGATGGCTGCATACCCTCCCCCATCCCACTTAATAAGGCACCAGAGCCTCTCAACTCTTCAGGTTGCCCTCAGGTTCCTCCTGGCCCTCCCAGCCCCCAGGACCCAGCAGGCCAGGCTGGCCAGGGCACTCACCCACATTGATGGCCCAGCCTCGCTCCATGGCCAGCTTCCCTGCCTTTGGAGACAAGCACAGGGTGAGAAGCACAGGCAACCGATTCCCTCACTTACTCATTCATAGCTTCACTCATTCATTCCATAAACACTATGCTATGTCCAGCCAGCTCTGAGGTAGGGCTGACCTATGAGGTAGGGTTCAGGAGGCACCCATCCTCCAGCAAACTCAGACTGGGTCTTGGAAGCAAGTACCAGATTGGCTGGCATATGAGATGTGGGGCGCATAAGCCCCTTTGCAATTTTGCCAAGAAACTGGAAGAAATCAAAGTTAAGTAGTTATGATCACAGGTGAGCTGACAATGATCTTAATGGGGCTTTCAAAGGGAAAATAGACAATTTTTTGCCCATGGAAATATGGCAGACTGCGTAGGAAATCATTGTTTGGGGGTGGGTAGTCATATTCCAATAAACAAACAAACAAAACAAGGTACAAATTTGCAGAGCTAAAAAGAAAACTATCGGGATCAACTGGTCTTGATCCAGCTCTGGATTAGATCATCCTACATTTAAAACGGCAATATTCCTCTACCTCCAATTAACTGCAGCCTGTGACTACTTTTAAAGACAACTACATATGGGATATGAAACCTAATTTTGCTGCAAGTGTTCTTTACTGCCCCACCCATATGCAGGGTGAGGGGAGCATCGCCCACCACTGAAGTCATGGGGGTTTGGTTTTCCCTCTTGAATAGAGTACAGTGAAGCCACTGTTTGAGGATATACTCTCTGGGGAATGGGGCTATATCTTATATACCAGCAAATACGGTAACTCTAATGGGCGGTCAGCGGGGGGGAGGAACAAGGAATTCAATGTCCTGGAGCACGTGGGAAAGCCTCCGGGAGAAAGAGTTGTTGTTGCTGTGCCTTGAGGAATATTCAGGATTTTGTTCAACTACGAAGTGGGAGGAGTATATTCCAGATGGAGAGCCCAGGGTGAGCAAAAGCCCAGAGGCGCGGGGGTCTGGAGCCCAGCAGTTGCTTCCGCCTGCCTCCCCACCTACCATGATGGTTCCTCCCGTCTGGGTCCGGAGGGGCTTCAGCACCTTCCTCTGCACAAGGAAGTTGGGGAGGAAGATGACAGGGGGGATCTCTGTGATGGTCGCAACAGCAAAGGACCACTGTGGAAAGAGATGCAGGCCGTTGGCCTCCCACTGCCGTGCCCAGAGCTCGGAGGCGGCAGTTGGGAAAACATATTCCTTGTAATGCCAGTTTCAAGGTGCCCTGGGTGAGCTTCCAGCCTAGTGCAGTTCCTTTGGTCAGAAATGAGAGCCCCCCTCCCCCGTCCCCCCAGCATTGGGGTCAGTAAAGAGCAGTTTCCTTAAAGCTGTTGCCCCACATTCCTCAGTGCTCCAAAGCCCTTGGCTGCCCTCTTGTGCCCAGAACAAGAGCTGCAGGGGACTACCAGTGACCAGCAGCAGACCCAGCACGGGCCCAGCCCACCCACTGCACTAAATGGGGGACACTGAGGCCCTGACCTGGGAAGATCTTTCTTTCCAAGGTCACACAGTGAGTCACTGGCAGAGCCAGGACAGGAAGTCCAGGTCTCCTGCTCCCCTGGCCCAGCATGACCTCTTCCTGCCCTGGGAATCAGACGTACCTTCAAAAGGGGTATCAGGCCCTCAGCTCAGCGACTGAGGCAGGAGGGTCTAAGGGTATCCAAAAGGCATTTGCACCAAGATCAGGACACAGCCTTCCCTATGAACGGGGAGGCGGGCGCTTATATGCGAGAAAGCCTTCAAAGGACAACATGATCTGTGTCTAGGTGGGAACAGAGAGGCTTTCTGGAAGCAGTGACCTTGAAGCTGAGACTGAAGGTGAACAGGAGTTGCCCAGATGTCAGGGTAAAGGTGAAAAGACAACAGCTTGGCAGACGGAAAGGGAGCCCAGGCTCCCAAGGGGTTGGGTGCGGCTGTGACAGGGCTGTGCCTGTTGAGTAGGGCCTGGGCTGCCAGAGAATGTTCTCCGACAGCCTCGTCAGAGCAGCGGGGAGCCATCAGATGGTGCTTTCCCCAAGCCGTTCTGGCTGCAGCAGGAGGACCAATTAGGGGAACTTGAATAGAAGCAGCAGCTGCCCCAGGAAGTGAGAGACAATGAGGGTCCTGGAGAGGGGAACAGTTAGCAGATAGCAGAAGGGGGATGGGCAGACAGAGGGGTCAAGGATGCAAGGTTGGAACCCCAAGACTCCAACCCTGAAGGGCCAGGCCGGCCCAGAAGTATAGTCCCCTCGGACAATCGAGGGCTGTCCTGGGACAGGTTGGGGGGTGGGCAGGGGCATGGTGCTCAGGAAGCCAGGCAGAGAAGTTTCAGGAAAGAATAAGCAAAGAGAGGTGCTGAGAATGGGGAGCATGGCCACTGGGTTCTCCCACCAGGAGAGGAGGTTTAGGGCAGGAGATGCCTGAGCATGTTCAGTGACGGGGAGGGGTCAGCAGAGAGGGAAAAGGAGAGGCCAAGGGTGGGGTGAGACAGAAAGGGCACATGCCTGGGAAGGTCCTGGCAGGCCCCTTAGCCAGAGGGTGCCCCTCGAGGTCAGGGCAGGAAAGGACACATGTCAACCACCATAGGGGCCACTGCAGCCACCCCAGCCAACAGGGAAGATGTTTTGTCAGGGTCCAGGTGTGCTAGGCACCCAGGCTGCCTTGAACTGCACTGACCAACTGTGTGGGCACCCCGCCCAGGCCACCAAGGCTGAGGACAGTTGAAGGCCAGGGAAGCTCGCTCTGCTGCCTCGCTCAAGTGAAGGAGCTGGTGAACGTGGCGCACGGAACCCAGACCACTTGCGGTCTGAAAAGAGAGCTGCCCAGCCAGCCTTCCTGAAGCCCCAAGCCTCTGGCTGCAACATGGAGGCACCTCAGGGCCTGGGAGAGGGTGTGGTGCTAGGGCTGAGACCAGGAAGGTTGGAAAGCTCCAAGACCCCTCCATGTACGTGTGTATGTGTATGTGCATGTGTGTGCATGTGGGGTGGGTGGGAGGGGGCAGACGCAGAGAGCGGAAGGTGGCCAGCTCTGCCTGCTGAGCGTGCCAATCCCACCGCCCGGCACAGGCCTGACACATGCGAGGCACGGGGCCACTGTTTTCTATGAATAAACATTATAAAAACAAATGGGCCACTGAGGGGACATGTTAAGTTCCTGCCTCCCTCTCTCTCCCTCAGCAAGCTAGCAGGCAATAAGGATGGAAAGAAAACGAAACCTTACCCTGGCCTCCTGAAGGGTCCGCTAGAGACACGAAACCATGAGAAGGGCATTTTTTAAACTATGTTCCACAGCACCTGTCCAGCTCAGCACTCCCATCCCGAAAGGGTTCCACGTCGAGTAAGTTTGGGAAACATTGCTTCTATTGTTCACCCCTTGGAAATTCACAACATACTCTGGCATGTTAAAAGCTCTAAATTGTGCAGTGAAGAATCCTGTTTAACTTTGCTTCACCCAGTTTCCCAAACTTTCTGGCCACAAACCTCCATCGGCTGGCTTGACTTTTTACAGAACCCGTACAGACCTTCGAAGAGTGGCAGTCATCTGGGACACACCAGGAACCTCGTAGGCCAGAGGGTGAATTTTACATGGGCCAGGCATAAAGTCACCAAAAGCACGTCTGGGATTTGGCCAAGGGGATCAGTTCCCCTGGGAGAAGGTGTAACGTCCGCCAATGTGTCTCCACTTCCGGTCTAGAGAGATGGTACTAGACTTCTCCCAGCCCGGCAGTGATTTCTGTGCAGGGCAGCTGTGCCACCTCCTGTGGCCACCAGCCACATGTGGCTACTTGGGTATACGTTTAAATTAATTTTAAAAATGTTTAATGAGAATTTTGTTAATTCAATTAAAAAAAATCCACCATACTTCAATAAAAAATTAGAGTTCTGTTTTTCAGTCTCGCCAGCCAGGGTTCAAGTGCTTAAAAGCCGCATGTAGCTAGTGGCTACTGGACAGAGCCCTTCTAGAACATTTCTGGCACGTCAGAAAGTTCTACTGGACAGTGCTGCTCTAGAAAAACCACCAGTGACCAGGGTGAAAAACAAACAAGGGGGCGGGGCAGGCTGGTGGCTGGGCCCTGGAGGATGGGGCGGGTGGGGAAGGGCTACAGAGGGAGGGCAGATACTTTATCTGGGACGTGCAGCCCAGCAGGCTGAGATGAGAGCACCCAGATCTGCCGGCAGCTCAGGCCCTCAGAGAGTCTGGTCCCAGGCAAGGGCATTGAGGGACGGGCTAGATGCCAGTAGGGTGGGGACAGGGCTCAGCAATCCTCCTCAGAGTCAAACTGGTCCAACTCAGGGCTCTGCCACTGCTGGGTGAATTTGGGCACGGCCCCTTACTTCCCTCCTGTCTCCTCATCCATGAAACGGGAGGTCTTCCCCACCAGACCTAAAATGAGGACTTAGACCCATCCACCAGGCCTGTCCTCACCTTCACATCTGAAGTACCCCCACCTGGGTCCCCCCTCTGACCCCCAGCCTTGCCTCATCTTTCTGCACAGCACCTGTCTCTATCTGACGTTACAGTATGCCTCTGTTGTTATCGATCACTTCCAGAAGGATGCCAGAGCTAGGAGGGTAGGCACACGCTCATCCCTGCCATACAGACAATGCTGAGAGCGATGCCTGGCACACGGTAGGTGCTCACAGCACATGCTGTCCATCCTCTCCCAGATCCCTACCTGCAAGGTCTCCAGAGGAGGCCACCTCACCTGTACCACCCAGGAGAGCCCCAAACAGTGACTGGCCCATAAGGGGCTAGAACAGCCCAGCCCTCTGTTCCTGAGACAGCACAAGGGCAGGGCCCCTCCTGGGGTCAGGCAAGGCCATGCTCCTGCTGAACCCTCATGAGTGCCCAGTTTCTTCCCCCACCCTCTCTTCATCCTACCCTCTCTTACAGGTTTCACCACAAAGCTTGCCCTCCGGGAATCCCTTGCACCCCCATCCCCAGCGGGTTCGGCCTCTAGGGGGTGCTTCTCCCAGTGCAGTTCCTAAACCAGCAGCACCAGCACTTAAGAACTTGTCAGGAATGTAGATTCTCAGAGCGCCTGGGTGGCTCAGTCGGTTAAGTGTTTGACTCTAGATTTCAGCTCGGCCCATGATCTCAGGGTCATGAGATCAAGCCCCATGTCAGACCATGCTCAGTGGGGAGTCGGCTTGAGATTCTCCCTCTCCCTCTGCCCCTCCCCACGCTTGCACACACTTTCTCTCTCTAAAATAAATAAATAAAATCCTAAAAAAAAATGTAGATTCTCAGGCTCCTCCCCAGACCTGAATCAGAAACTCTGGGAGTGGGCCCAGTGATCCGTGTTATGACAAGCCCTCCAGTGGATTCCAATGCTTAAGCAAGTTTCAGAACCACTGCTCTAGAGAACTTGACCCCCGCAGTGATGAATGAACGAATGAACGAACGAATGAATGAATGACACGAACAAGGGAGGTTTGTCCCAGCCTAATGCCCATTGCCCACCAAAAGGCATGGCCTGCGAGCTTCCCCATCTCAGAGCCTGGCCAGGTATCAGGGCCTCCATGCCCAGCCAGCCTTTTGGGGACCCCACAGATAGCAGGACATACCTGAGGTTGGCAACACCTCTGGGACTCACTCCCACCCCATACTCTCAGCTCTGCAAGACTCTATTCTCTAGCTGCCTGATTTCCTCAGGTGGACCCTCTACCCTCAGAAATCCAAACCAAGAATTGCTCTCAGGGGAAGAGATGGCTGCTACCCCATTTGGAGCCCCATCTGCTTGGCTTGGGTCAGAACTTTCCATCAGTGAAAGTGGAAGCAAAAGGAGAAGAGGGAAAAAACCCACATGACCATTTCAGTTGTTGAAGAAGAAGCCTTTGCCAAAATCCAACACCCTTTCATGAAAAGTCAATCAACAAACTAGGAAGAGAAAAGAATTCCCTCAACCTGGTAGAGGGCATTTATCATACACACATGCACACACACACAATCTCAAAGCTAACAAGATACACAGTACTAAAAAATGGAAAACCTTCCACCTAAGATCAGGAACAAGACAGGGATGCCTGTTTTTGCCACTTCTATTCAACCTCACACTAGAAGTTCCAGCCAGAGCAATTAGGAAAGAAAAATTGGAAAGCAAGAAGTAAAACTATCTCTATTCACCGATGACATGATGTTAG